TCAGGTCAGAGATGATAAAATGATGACTTCACCTTCTTCCACTCTCTGTCTTTCAGTTTTGGTCAGCGTTTAGCATTTCTTGTAATTGTAAGTTCTTTTTTTTTTTACATTAAAAAACCTTTTCTCGGTTTTTCCGACCGACAAAATGTTGAAGTTGAAACTGATTCAGAATCTGTTTCGGTTCAGATCTGTGTGACTGTGTGAGCTGCAGAGAGGGAAGGGTAATTAAGGTGCACGCTGCGAAGCTGTGCCTTTGTCCAAAAGTGTCCACAAAACCTTTGTAACAACGGATTTACTGCTCACCACTGGGTGTCAGGAGAGTTCACAGACATAAACTGAGTCTTAATCAGCTCAGTCTAGACTTTATGGTAACAAGAAATGTTTTCAAAAAAAAGTTCTCTCTAAATGATCTTCCTGGTGCCCCCTACAGACCATTCGTTTGTACAGCAGATGATTAAAAAAACAGATTTGTCTCTAACATTATTATTCTATCACTGTCCTGCTGAGGGTAAGAGTTTAAAGCTACAGCCACTACATTAAGTGAACATGTGAATCAAATTTCTCTGTTTGTCTCCGTGTTTTTTTTTTATCTTCCAGTGTGCATGAAAAATTCCCCAACCCTCATCGTGACGGTTGGACTCCCGGCCCGAGGGAAGACGTACATTTCAAAGAAGCTAACGCGCTACTTGAACTGGATCGGTGTGCCAACCAAAGGTAGGAACTGGAAATGTGGTTTGCATTTTTCTCATATTTGTTTTGTCATACACTGTAGGAAATACAGGAAATATATTTTCAACACGATAAACCTTTCAAATTCTTTTTTGCAGAATTCAACGTGGGCCAGTATCGTAGGGAGTGTCTGAAAATCTACAAGTCTTTCGAGTTTTTCCACCCAGATAATGAAGAAGGCTTAAAAATCCGACGGTAAGTTAGTTTCAATATCTGTAGCAGGGAAACATGTGACACACGAGTTAAAGACAAACAACAATCGTCTTCCCTTATTTAGAAATGCACCTACTGTAACAGTGAGCTAGACATGTTTCAACATGAGATACTGTATTGTTTTTGTTGATGTCTGATCTGAACTACAGATAATTTATGGTACTTGGTGCCGTCTTTCAAATGCAGTGAATGTTATTTAGAAAGAAAAAAAAATCAAGAGCATTTCCAACGAAAAGGAAATTTAGTTTTGCAATCAACTTTGTAATTACTTACAAGACTGTCGACTAGGACAGGACTTCTGTCTTATTTTTCTGAATTCTTAGCAAAAGATGGTTGAACCTGTGATTAAAAATAAAAAAGCAGAAGTTCATCACAAGTGTTAAATTACTCAAAATTTGATTCCTCAAAATTAAAAGATTCAAAATAAAAAGAGAGGCGTTCGAGAGTTTCGTTTATCCTGGGAGTTTCCTCCAGCGGTCTAGACCTACAGCATCATCTTTGAAAACAGATCATAACTACCTGAACCACCGCTCACATCTACAGTATGGGACATTTTTGTAAATGGTATTTAACTCTGTCTTTTTTACACAGTCAGTGTGCGATGACAGCACTTAACGATGTTCGACAGTACCTGAGTGTTGAAGGAGGGCAGGTGGCGGTGAGTTATTTTGAGCTTCTAAAAAATTTAAAAATTAATTCCCACATTCTGTTTAAAGGACTGTTTAACAAGTGCTATGTTACCCTCCTCCTCCGCTCCCCCACACCCCCCTCCCAATGTAGGTCTTTGATGCCACAAACACAACCAGAGAGAGACGAGGGACCATCGTCAAGTTTGCAGAACAGAATGGTTTCAAGGTTTGTCGCCTAAGCTGAATAATGAAATCATGATTTTTTTTTTTTGGCTCACATCAAATCTAAAATGCTGTCCTGTTTATGCAGGTGTTCTTTGTGGAATCTGTGTGTGAAGATCCAGATGTCATTGCACAGAATATAGTGGTAAGCGTCTCATGTAGCACTGTAAGGCCAAAAAAAAACAACAACAAAAAAAATCACTGTAAGGCCAAAAAGAGAGAAAAAAAATAAAATCGCAATTCTTTGCTCACATCCTCTTCTGGATTTTCTCCCTCGTAGCAAGTGAAGCTGGGAAACCCCGACTACATCCACTGTAACACCGATGAGGCTGTGGAGGACTTCATGAAGAGAATCAAGTGTTACGAGTATTCTTACCAGCCTCTGGAGGAGGGTCAGGACAGGTGAGGAACTGCCAAACCACCTACACAACATTCCTCTCTGCTCCACAAGGTGGCGACACGCTAACACACTCTGTGCTGTTCTAGGGACCTGTCCTACATCAAGATCATGGACATGGGTCGCCGCTTCCTGGTCAACCGTGTCCTCGACCACATCCAGAGTCGGATTGTCTACTACCTGATGAACATCCACATTACTCCGCGCTCCATCTACCTGTGTCGACACGGAGAGAGTGACCTCAACATCAAGGGACGAATCGGAGGAGACTCCGGCCTGTCTGCCAGAGGAAAAGAGGTAGACATGAATCCACCGGTCGAGGATTTGACCGGCTCCATGAACGCCTCTTCAGAACTAAACAGTTTTGAAGGGCAAGAAATTGAGAGAAGCCAATGTAGCAGCTCCAAAAAGGAAAGAAACCTGAAACAGCAGCTCATGTTGAAGTGATTCCCAAACCTTTTTTCAGACTGAATTATCGTGCCCCAACAGTGACATATTAACAGCTATTTTCTTCCAATCTCCACTTAACTTTGTTTAAAAGTGTTAGACACACTGTTAGACGTGACCTCTGCAATAGTCCTACGTTCCCTGTGGTGGCCACACGCCCATCTTTGAAAACCACTAGGTTACCCAATCAAATATCTCAGCCTCTCTTAAATACTCTTAACAAAGCCTTCCACCGATTACATCAGAAACTGTGGATCATAGAAACAGCCTCAGAGAAATGTCTTTTTTGATTGACCTAATTCCTACTTTGTTCCTCTGTTTTTATACAGTTTGCCCAAAGTCTGAGGAAATTCCTCCTGGAGCAGAAAATTAAAAACCTGAAGGTGTGGACCAGTCAGATGAAGAGGACGATTCAGACGGCCGAGTGTCTGGGAGTGCCGTACGAACAGTGGAAGTCTCTGAATGAAATAGACGCCGTACGTCAAACTCCGTGTTAGTTATCAGCTGAATACGACAGAAAACTTCAACTTAAACTTCAACTTAAACCGCATTCTATGGTTTCAGGGCGTGTGTGAGGAGATGATGTACGAGGAAATCCAGGAGCATTATCCCCTGGAGTTCGCGATGAGGGACCAGGACAAATACCGGTACCGATATCCCAAGGGGGAGGTGAGAATGTGGTTCTCACACACACACACACACCTCAGTGTCTCGGTTTTAATGAATGTGTGATCCTACAGTCCTATGAAGACCTAGTGCAGCGTCTAGAGCCGGTGATCATGGAGCTGGAGAGACAGGAGAACATTCTAGTCATTTGTCACCAGGCTGTGATGAGATGTCTGCTGGCATACTTCCTGGACAAAACTGCAGGTATGATATTGTTACAACATTATTAAATTAAAGGTTTTTTTATCTTTATTGTCTTCCTAGAAATAAAACAATTGGTTGAGCTTGAGGTCAAAACTAAGACATTTCCCCCCCCTTGTTTTTCCTAGATGAGTTGCCTTATCTCAAGTGTCCTTTACACACGGTGTTAAAGTTGACTCCTGTGGCCTACGGTGAGTTTTTAATTTTTATTTTAATTTTCATTTAAAAAAGGAACCTGTTTCATCTTTATCTCAAGTTTTAAATTTTCACCAATTACCAAATATGTTAAATCTATTGGTCATTATATAATATATAGGGACAAATCTTGCATCCTGTATTTATCTTCTTTTTTTTATTTCTCTGTCTGTCTTAAGGGTGTAAAGTGGAGTCGGTCTGTTTAAGCGTGGACGCTGTGAACACTCACAGAGACAGACCTGAGGTGGGTTAATCAAGCAGCACAGCACGTTAACTAATTAACACAACATCTACTTCCAGGTGTGAAGTAGAGCTCTAACCCAACCAGTCCGCTCTCTGGCTGATGTGTTTTAATGATGTAGAAATGCTGAGTCACGAATCCGAGAGAAACACCTGACTCAGTCTTCTTCCAGCTACTCTAGCAGTCGGTGCTGATCCAACCCTTTCTTCTCATCGCACAGAGAATAAAAATCTTTCCCCGTCCAGCAGTGACCCCTGATGGCCATCACGACAACTGTGACGTCAAAAAAGAATGATGCTTTAACTCTCTACCTCTACCACCAACTTTCTTAACTGGAATCCAGTGTTGGGACAAAACCAGTCTCTTGTTAATAAAAAAAAAAAAATATATATATATATATAACCTTAAATTCATTACAAAAAAATTACATTTTTACTTACAGCATGTGTAGCAATATGAGATGATCTTTTTATATAAATAATTTCGACATAGATGTAGTTGTTAAATCCTGTTGCTATATCAAGTAAAATAATTAAACTTCTCATTTGATTTTTGATGTTAAGTAATTTTTTTGTGGTTAATATAGTTATAGAAAGAATAATGTCAATTTTGTAAATAATTCTTTTTTTTAGTATAACATTATAAACCTTCAGCAGAGACGAGGCACTTTCATTTATATCACTTGTGATTGACAGCTGGGCTGTCTGATAAAAACCAAGTTAAGGCTGATGTCAGTATGTGAATTACATGTGTCCAATCATGTGCTGTCTCCTGAATTGATCTCTAAGTTGAACTGGGAATTAAAAATGAGAAGATCTGAAACTGACTGAAACTAGAAACCGGTGAAAATGAAGTGCTAAAAAAAAAAAAAGTTTTCCCACTGACATCACATCACATGGAGTTACTTTAGAAACACGGCTGCAGCTTGACTCTTTGACTGGAAGCCCATTGACGTCATCTAAACACTATATATATATAAATACAAAATTACAACATATTGTTGATTCTGTGTATACATTTTCCCATCATTGCTTTTTGTCTTTATTGTAAATATAAATCAACACATTAAAGAACATTATTTTCTGTTTTGGTGAAATTATTCATCTGAATATTCATGCAAAACATTGTATGTAAATGTGTCGTTTGTTTTCTATCACAGAAGGATATATATATAAATATATATGTATATATTTATATATACAGAATATTTTTTTTCTTTGCTAAATGACAACCATAATGGGAATTTTTAAGCCATGCTAACACCGCACAAAGCACTGAATTCGAACATTTTGCATTTATTTTGTAACTTTTTTTAGACTAAACCAGTGGTTCCTGTACTTGTTCTGCAGCGCCCCCTTGTGTTAACGAGACTACTGTGGAGCCACATCTATTGCTTTGAAACTCCAGTAAACTATATTTTAAATGTTGATCTAAAGATAGAAACTGACAGAAAGGACTGAGCTTCGGAGGTGAATACAGTTGTACAGAAATATAAAGTGAACTATGCTGCCCTCTACTGGAACATGCTTCGTCTTTGATATTAAAACAATCCATATAACAGTCGGTCGTTCTACTGACGCTCCAAACAAAATTAGTAATCATCAACCAAGTTTAAACCTAGTTAACTATGACGTCATGCACAGCTGACTCCTGACTCTAACACTGTCTCTTTCATTGTTCCAGAACGTGAATGTGCGACGCAGCACCGAAGACGCTCTGCAAACCGTTCCAGCTCACTTTTAATCCCGATTCAGCCGTGACCTGCTCATACAGCACCGAACTGGGTCACAGCAACGATGCTCAACAACTGCCCCGTGGGGCAGATTCACCATAGTCTTTCCAGACTGTAACTATGAAGCACTTTTAGTGAAGAAAAAAAAAAGAAAAAAAAAAACACGTGATAATTAACTTTTTTTATACATTGCATTTTGATGTGACGTGTCCGGTTACTGTAGCTCCAAACTATTTTTATATTTCACTTTTTCTTGGTCAACTTTGTTGATATTCTCTGAACTGTCAAGTTTACTGTCGTTATGATATTATGTACATTATGCACTATGTAAATGTCCATGTTTCAACTCGTTTTTCGTCAAACAAAAACAAAACGACGGCTAAGTCTAAATCAGTCTAATTTTGAAATCCCTAATTTGTGGGTAAAAGACATTTCTCATTCAAAACAGTGCATGAAGAAAGTTTTTTTTTTTGGAAAGTATGAATACATTAAGGTTACGAAAGGACTAATTCATGGAGACAATTATTAGAAAATCCAAATGTATTTCCGTCACTGAGTTCATGGAGTTTGTGAAAACACATGTAAAACTGATCTGTAACTGAAGAAAACATCTATGAGATACTGACCCTAAAGAAACTGCAATATAAAATTAACTACTGTGAAAAGTTTACTCATATACGTGTTGTAACAAATCACGTTAAATGATTTCTATGGTTTGTTCACTTTTGAGACCACTGCACCTTTTTTTCTTGTTAATGTTACACCTTTGATATTGTGAAATTTTAATGCCTTGTTGTTTCCATAAATAACAAATAAACATATGACGAGTGAGGGCTGCTTCACACAAAAAACCCCATCCTGTTACATAATGGATATGAATAATAATGTTTTTATTTATCTTCACTGACAGCAAGTATTTGACTTTAAACCATTTATAATAGGTTTCCCTCTGTGTATTAAAAAGAAACAACATGAAACGTTGATGATTGCCCTCGTGTCAATAAAATATAGCAAATATGAAATGTGCATACGTAGGGCATTTAAAAAAACTACTAAAAAAAAAAACAACCTGTGCTCATTAATACTGATTACAAATATCTCTTTAAGTTGTGAACATTAATTATGTACAAATATCAATATTTTGAGCACAGGGATTTTTTTTAAGAATAAAGGGCCATTGACCAGAACCATATCATCGTTAATAGGTTTTGGTCTTGTCTCTGCCTTGTGAGTCCACCGATCCAAAGTGATGGCCAAAGACTGCAAAAAGGAATGATTTCTGGGGCAGGGGGTTGTTTATTTTTTTTTTTTTTAGAACTGAAAAAGTAAAAAGAAAAAAGAAAAAAAAGTGCATTAGCATTGCAATAGAAATTGAGGAAAATATTGCAACCATAACTTTAAAGACAAACAAACCTTTGACTCTAATAAAACCTAGAAACAGTTTTACTTACATTTTTGAGGAACTCTTCAGCAACGATACGAGCCCTGGCGTTGACAGACAACTTCATTTCACTGATCTCTTTGTCAATTTCTTCCATGAAATGAATGACATAGTCCACCAGCTTGTGTTTGTACATTTGCTCTGTGTGGAAGTTGGTGATTAGAAAACTAATGTCGTAGCCCTGCAATAAAAAAGAGGGAAGAGAAGATTTAATCATTGTTAAGGTTCCTATGGTATGAATTGTGAATAGTCACAGACGCTTATTCAATGAATAAAGTGAGTATTTGAACACAGTACAAAAGCCTTATTTTGACTTGTTTTTGATGAACACTCACCTCCACCGGTTTCCTCCTGAGAATAAAAAAGTTCTCTGCTCTCATCATCATGAATCTCATGAACTTATGGCACAGGATCTTCTCAATCTCATCTGCCTGCAGCCAGAAGTTAATGTGGTGAGTTATCACAGATGCCGTCCAACACTACGGTAATCACATTGTGGTGATTTATTTATATATATA